TGGTCAGTTTCAGCAGCGGCTGAATCTGGACGCCAGTTCCGACTTACATACAGATTCAACTTAAGAACAAACCTACAGTCCCTATCTTGTACGTAACCCGGGGACTGCCTGTAGATTAACCCAGCTACCTCTCTGAAAACAGAATAAGAGAAATCCCCAGGATCAACTTGGAATAGTCCTAATAGACATTCTGATATGACATATTAGCTAGAATAACAACAGGCTTATTGGTTAATCTTGTTGACTACACACATCCCCTCCCCCCTTTTGCTGCCTCGGTATCAGAGGCAGCAAAGAGGGGAAGCAGGAACCGGTGCTGGAGGGAGGCAGCTTAAAAGCTGATTCCCCTCAGCACCGGCTCTATGGTGCCGCTTCCCTCCTCCCCACCACTGCCTCTAAAGAGGCAACCAGCCTCTCTCCAGGCAGGCCTGAGCTTCCCATGGACAGAGACTGCTACACATCCCACAGAGCTGCTTGCCATGGCCAGCCCAGGCCACCGCGGACAGAGGCTGCTTCACGGCAGCCTCCCCCGCTCCCTCGCCACCCCCTTTGGCAGCAGCCTGTCTGTGGGGAGCTCGGACCTTTGCTGACAGCGGCTGCTGCTACCCCATGCTGCTGCCTTTGTATCAGAGGCAGCAGCGTGGGGTGGCAGGCACCAGGTCTGTGTGGGGCACTGGTTTTTAAACTGGCTCCCCTCGTGGACCAGCTCCCACCTCTCACCCCGTGCTGCTTCCTCTGATCATAGAAGCAAGCGCTGCCACTTGAGTTAATTTCCCACTCATACAGAGGCAGCAGGGTGGGATGGCAGGGGGCTCCCATGAGTGGGGCTGGAGCGCATAGCTACTGGCCCCAACCCAGGGACTATCAAATAATCATATAATCAATAAGAATTCATGCAGTTACACAACTATTCAATTGCCCGATATTTAACATCCTTAATATTAATACAACTCTCGCCTCTTTAAGCCACAGAATGTAACTAGTTTGCGTATAAACAACAAAGAGTCCGGTGGCAC